AAAGTTGTATGAAAATTCGTCGTCTGCTTGTCATCAAATGTAAATTTATAAGTTTCCAATGTCGGATTATTTCTTTCATTGTCGTAATATGAAACGTCACGATTATTATTATTATTATTATTAATTGGATTCGTTAAATTTTTATGAATTTCTTGGGGTTCGACTCCTCGAAAAATCACCACCACCGATATCAACACCTGAAATTAATAATAATAATAATATTATAAACATACAAAGTTACGAATGAATTTTCTTTTTGTTTTAAAATAGAAGAGTGAGAGAAGTTTAAGGGAAAAGAAGGGGTCGGGTAGAGGAGGGGAGGGGAAGAAGCATAAATCTTTTTTTTTGCTTGAGGTTCACATTAAAAAATTCCAGAATATTAATTAAAAAAAAAATGTGACGTAATGTAAATTTTACGGTAAAAAGGTTTTAATGAAAGGAAACGAAAAAAAAAAATATTTTTACGGTAAACAAAAGGTTTTTATTTCGGTTTTTGTTTTTGTTTCTTTTTTTTTTTTGTTATAAATAAATAAATAAAATTGTTAATTAAACTTTTTTTTTTACTCTATGTAAAGTCGAAAAATATTTTTATTTATAAAATTCATAAATATATAAAAACAAACGAACGTTTAAATAAAATAATATAACGCACGATTTAAATTCACGTAACAAAAGGTTTTTTTCATTTTAATTATTATTATTATTATTATCATTATTATTATTATTATTACAATTTAAAAATAGTCAAGTGTTAAGTTTGAATTTAATGGAAAAAAAAAAAGTGACCTTAGTCGTCACCTTTTCGTTATGTTTGCATATAAAAAAAAAGAAAAAAAGTTTAAACGTGATTTTTAACCGGAAACAAAACCAAAAGAAAGGTTAAAACCTTTTCGTATAAACCTTTTTTTCGTAAATTTTATAACGCTTGAAAATACGTTAAAAAAAGGTTATAAAAAAAAAATTTTTTTTTTATTTTTAGAATAAATATTATGTGGACGTTTAAATTATTATTATTATTATTATTATTATTATTATTATTATTATTGTTTTCTGCGGTTAAATTTAAATTTATAAATATATAAATAAATTTATTTATAAAAATTAAAAAGGTTATAATTATAATTATTATTATTATTATTATTATTATTTTATAACCTTTTTAAGTGGCTTTTTTAAACTTTTCTTCATTACTTTTTTTATTGGTTTATTTCTTATTTTGGAAAATAAAAGGAAAAAAAAGGAAAATAAAACAATGAAATTTTAAATTTCTATAATTTCCAGCTAATAATAATAATGATGATGATGATGATGATGATGATGATGATGATGATGATGATGATGATGGTGATGATGATGATTATGATGTAAAAAAAAAAATTATTTTCAGTTTTATAAATAATTTTTTGGGTTTAACTTAGGGGTTAAAGTTAAAATCCTTAAAAAATTTTTTTTTTAAAAAAAAACCCTGGAGGAAATAAATTTTAAAAGAAATTTGAAGCTGGATAAAATTTTTACAAAAAAAAGGAAAAAAGGAAAGAAATTTCCTTTGGAACCCAATAAAAAAAAATAAAATAAAAAAATTACTCTAATAAATTTTTTTGTCGTTATAAAAATTTGAACTATGGGTTAAAATATTTTCTTTTTTTTTTTTTTTTTTTAAATGTTTATCCCTCCTCATTGTCTTCTTGTTAGATTTAAATTTCCGATTTATTTCTTCCATCTTCTTCTTATTTTGCCTTATCTCCACCCCCTTTTCCCGTCCCTTCCCCTCCCCTTTTCCATCCTTCTCTTTGAATTACTACCCCGTCTTTTTAACAACCGTAATTTTCCACTTATTTCCGGTTACGCGAAAATTATGTACATATATATATATATATACATAAAAATCTATTGTTTTTATTTGTACAGTACAACGAGTAAATTATTATTATTCTTATTATCATTATCATTATTATTATTATTATTATTATTATCCACCATTAAACACGACAAGGCTACTTGTCGGAGTTTTTTTTAAGTATTTATCCGAGGTTTCTACCCGATTCCTTAGGGACAAATACTCGAATTTCGGTGGTGCCACTTATTATAAGATAACACCACATCAATTCTTGAAAGTCTTCCTGAGTCCGTCTTTTTCGATGGGAACGATTTGTCTTCTGAACTGGGCTCCGGTGACTAACATCTTTGGAGTGGCCAGGGTCAGAAGCAGTGAAATTCACGTCTCGTCGAGCTGCC